ACAAAATCATTTCATTGTGTGTAGGATTCAGAAAGTCTCGATCCTATTAATAATCTATCTAAGAATATATTATAAAGTATGTCAGCGTCAAATTTCTTTGTTCAAAATGATATTTTTTTGTTATCAGTCCTAGCCAATATGTAAAAACAATTGGAATAGCAATTAACTGACCTTCTATTATCAATACTAGACTGCTAGACTTTAATACAAATAACAACAGAAAATAGTTAATTGATTATTTTCTGCAATAGAAAAATATGTATCAACTAATAATAGGGGTATATAACACCTTTATACTGATCTTATAACTTCTATTACTAACTATATTATTTCTGTATGTTATAACTTTGAAATATTGCTATTAAAGCCTTCCAATTCCTTTTACTTTCATTAACTTCACATCCTATTTTATTATTATGTAAGTATTAAGGTATTCTTTTTGTTTTCAGATTATCAGATTAATTACCTAGTATTTCTTTTTTTAATATTGAATACAATATTACATGAGAAATATATATATATTGTACTTTCATGAACATACTAGTGCTAGCAGTTTAGCACAATAAGTATAGAAGCGGATAAAAAATTTGATAAAATTTCAAATACAATAGCAATAGAATGCTATTAATATAACGCAGAATTATATGTGACGAGTTAAGAAAATTGGAGTTCCAATAGAAACAGATTTATCTGCTTATATGGTGTCAGCATGTTGTACAAGATTCTCCCGTCTTAATATTGCACATTTCTTGTTTTTTCATGTTTTGTTGGTTGGATATACTCTGACTTACCGACGAGGCTGCAGCTGCCTGCGAAAATACGAGGGATGTGCTGTGATTGACTCCCTTCAGAGCCAATGAGTGAGTGAAAGAGTGGTCCCCACACACAGCATTCCTAGGCGTGTGCGTTTGCTGTGTGCGACGCACGCTGCCTGTTATTATAATTATAGCAACGAGTCACGGCTCCAATTATTTAGAGCTAACATAGCACACACGCACTTTATCACAATATACTTAAGAACTAAACTTTATAACTATGCACTTGTAATCCTCTTTTGCCTGCCCAAATGCATTATATAACATTCTACATATATACTGCGAGTTTAATCAACGATTATCTAACGAGAATTGTAGATACAATATAATCAGATGCAATAAAACATATGTCTAAAAGTCCACAAAGTATTCACAATACATTTCATTAGGTCATTTAAAAATTGTAAATACGTTTGAATATTTGTATAATGAGCAAATTTAGTCACAAATCAAATACTATTTTGACACCATTATATAGCTTTTAATATATAACATATAATCAAAAAAATATGAACCCGTGTATTCTAATTTTATAAAAAGATACATTTAAGTTTTTTTGCTCCAAAAATGAATAGAAAAGATAATCCAATATGGTACTTTTATAGATAACAGAACCAATACTACAAAGTATTACAAACATATTGTCTATATTTTCCGTAACTACCGGAAGAAAATAAATATTAGGTCTAAGAATTTCCCTTTCAATAAACTACCATACTTCTTATAGAAAAAATGTAAAAAATGAAATGTGTTGCATATCATATACACAGAAAATCATATAAATACTGGTGTATAAGAAAAATTTTTAGAAAAAGTTACAACATATTACAGAATAATGTTTATAATGCTTCGTAAAAGATTCGCATGGTCAGCAAATAATTGAAAGTAACTGTTAATATTTGTAAACCTAAGCTTTAACAAATTTTTTACCCAATCCTATTAGACCACAATTTGTAATACCTTCTGACATTTTGGTATATCACATCCGACAATATATCCAAAAAAGAAGGGCAGAAAAGTAGGAGTGACATAAGAAAAAGATTGCTAATATAATTGTAAAAATAATTACCTTCATAACCTCCCTGAACTTTCCAATTTCTCTGGTAATCAAGTCTCTTTTACTTTCTTCTATTTCCGCATCATCCAAGTTCAATGATTTTGCAACCATCTTTGTTTGATGCTCCTCTACAATATATCGCAAAATAGTACCTGTTAATTTTCTAACTTAATTGCTTGAAATACTATGAAGAAGGTAATATACTACCAGGTGCAGTTTGAGCCATTTCCAAATCAGCAGCATGTTCGGCTATAATTTGATTAATACGAGCTAGTGCATCTGCATCCACTACTCTCATGCCTTCATCCATATAATCTTCACCTTCTTCTCCTTCAGCTCCTTCTGTAGGTGTTTCATCCTGTAAAGGTGACTGACCTCCTCTCAATTTTTTTCTTCTTTCCGCTAAAATGAGTAAAAAAAATATAATTAATCAGAATAGAAGACAAATATTAGTATAATGCATATGCGATAATTTAAAAAAATGAAATTTACCTTTAAATTGATCCAATACAACTTTAGCTTTTGCATCAACTTTGACAACAAGTTTTTTTGTACCTATTTCCATATCATGAAGTAATCTAACTGCTCTAAGACCTGCATCAGGACCTGCATATTCACAAAATCCGAATGCCTGGACTCTCTTCCACGAGAGGACATGGCCACATGCACCCAGAATATGTCTAATCATTACATCTGGTGCTCTATCCATAATATTACCGATAAACACGGTAACTGGTGGACCTGATTCTCTCTCACGGCGACGATTATTATCGTGCCGATTCTGGTTACGAGCGTACCGAACAGCTGGAGCTGAGGTCTGCATCGCAGATACGGGTGTTGGAATCATCTATTTTTTATAAATGGTAGTGTTCTTAATAATACACATCTCTACTCATGCAATCCAGAATCTTCCCTACCCCTAATAATATATTAATACACTTTTCTTTGTTTTATTACATTACATTTCAAAGCTGATCATGCAGAGATTTAACTTAAAAAACATAAGAGAAAAATTTGTCAGGAACCAGAAATTTAAAAAAAAATTGTTGCTTAATCCATTACAGTTCTACACTATTGATATTTTATTTAATACACATTTAACAGTGTAATCTATAAATGTTAATACATTACATGGTACAACCACATTAACATACAGAAAAAATCATAACTATAATAAAATTAGTAATATTTAAAGAACTACATAACAAATTTATCCAATATATGATACATTAATTTGCTCACACAATATTGATTAAATAACAAATAACATGCTTTTTTCTTTATTTTTTATCTAATAAATTATGTCATTTATTAACAATTTCTTGCACTTATTTCTGTTGATTTTAATTCTCTTTATTAAAAAATATATCAGTGAATCATAACAGACATTAAAATAGTGTTAATAATAAGCAATCTTTTCATTGATTTTATGTAAATATAAGAATAAACAAAAATAATATGGTAAAGTATTACATTAAGAAGATAATCTATGTAAAATATATTGAAACTTTTATTATTAAAATAATTACTTAACATTCTGTTAAAAATGTAACAACATTTAGCAAGTGCAAAAGTGATTAAAAATAAAATCTAAGAATCCACCAATGTCATGTAGAAACAAACATGCTATAATATTTATACATTTAATTTATATGTTTACTTACATGGGCCATAGGCATTACTCCACTTATAATTGGTGGAGGTGCCCCAACCATATAAGGCATAGGTGGGATGCCTGGTATACCCATTGGTGGTTGCCCTGGGTACGACATTTCTTACTTTGAATAGTACTGTGGCAGTGAGCTCGCTAAAAATTAATTAGGAAATTCTTGAAATACATAAATGTCATTCATATAGAACAGATGCAATATCATTAATATAAAAGTAATACAAAAAATTTAATGAAACCCTTTAAACCTTATTACTAATACTAAACATAAAACTTTTTAAACTTTGTCAATAATGATAATCAACTGCTTTGGGTACACTATTTTTACAAAATATAATACATTAATACTATCTAATATCTAAAAGTAAATTGCAATTGATTAAATATTATAAATAAAAAAATTATATGTATTCATCAAATAACCTTTTACTTTTCACATTCTTCACAAACATACTTTAGACATGTATTTAAATATATTCATGTTACACTAATTAATATTACAAAAAAAGAAATATGTATACCTTGTATTAAAATATAAAAACCGTACAACCTACAAATATTATAGTATAAAATCATATTTTTTGTACTAATAGCTATAGATACTAGATAAGACATTAATGGATGCTTCAGTATTCTAACCATTAAATGATCCCAACAAGAAACCAATCTTATACTTACATAATATAATTGAAAATAGAAACAAAGCATTAAACATCATTTGAAAAATATTTATGACATTTTGTTAATGTTCATACAGCCATATAAATGTTACACTAAACACAGGAACTAAAATTTCCACCTTTACAATTTTTCAACTGCTAATCACTTCTTTTCCTCCATTACAGCTTCACACGCTGGTCGCTTCAGGAAACCTATGGTTGGTAGTATGTTTCCCATGTGTTCAAAAATACATCATAAAAAATATGTGTATGTATCACTGACATATACATATACTATGGATACGAGATTCCCATAAGCCAGCTGTACAGCGGTTAAAACGAATTAAAGGAGACTTTACTCGCCAAAGCCGCCACCATTCGACCGATGTATTAAAGGAAATAACCAATCAGCGGTAAGATTTTGAGTACCGCCATCGACGAGAGACTGTCGAAAGACGAGACAGTCTCTCGACGCGGGTACCGCGAGCGATCACGGGGTGTGGGGAAGTAAAGTATGTACATACATATACCGCAGTTCACCAGAGTCCATAACTGCGAAAAGACCAGTTTTCGTTCTTCGCGCTTCTCCAGTACGCATCTTCGCCCTGATTGGCGATACTTCCAAATGAAGTGGAAAGCGATTAGCAGAGAGCTCGCTGCGTTCCCCCACCATCTTCCAACCTGCGCGTCGTAGTTATGGACTCTGGTGAACTGCGGTATACATACATAGGTGAGTCCGATCCGCCATTTTCTTGACCGTTGACAGACAGCAATTTCAATACTTTATAACTTTTTGACGATTTAGATAATATAAGGACCAGACTAATATTCTTTAGAGCCTCCTGAACACGTCCCTCAAATTTTTTCACATTCTGTTTAGAAATGAGGATGTATTTTGAGAACTCGCGTCTAGGAATTTTACTAGGGACTGTCGATAAAGTTTTCGACGCTTCTGTTCGGCCTAATTTTCGATGAAACGTTGACTGTTTTACCAACGCGGAATTCGAAGTTCAGCCTCGACCAGCCTCGACGCTCGCATCATCTTAAGAACTATATATGTGTTATTTTATTTTATTATTGCATTGTAAACAGATTTTGATGTATTCAAAAGATGACGGAAATAAATTGGTATGTTTTATAATTTTCTTATTAACATTTAAAGTGGTTAAATAATTTATATTCATTTTTTAGGATTTCCAAACCTGTAAATTATAAAGCAATAAGGTTTGCGTATTTAGAAGAAACAACAGATCATCCATTAAAACCTGCTACTGTTATGGTAAGAATTAATATGATGAAAAATGTGTAATACATTTATCAGTATTTTATCAATATATTTGCAGTTAATTGATGGACGCAGTGGTATCAAACGCAATGCACTACGAAGCACAAGTACCAGCACTTCAACTGCTACACTAACTCCAACACATACACCAATCCCTGGAAACCCTTTAACAGATCCGTTACTAAGCCATTCTTCTTTCGATGGATCTGACCCCCTTTCGCAGTTTGCTAGAGAAGAATTGGATCCTTTATCCAAAATGGCTGCAGATGAGGTTATCACAACACTTTTCCATAGTACTTACAATTTAATTTTAAAGCTTAATATAATATTTATATTGTAGTGGGATTATTCCTGCAATGCCATAGTTTGTGGAAAAAAGTCTAAAGATACTGCAGAAGAATTAGTAGAACCATGGTCAGCAAGACGAGCTGCAATATTAAACAAATACACAACTTCAGAAAAGTTGTCGATTATTACCAGTTTTTTGTCAGGTGGAGAGAAAGGTATCACTGTTATCTTTTATGAGAATACTGAAATTAAGAATATTTTTTGTATTTGTTATATTTATATTATATTATATTATATTATATTTCTTTTATCAGTTGTTGTAAAAGTTCAACCAACTGGTGGAGTAGTTGACAAAGTACGAACAAGACTGGAGCAGTTAGATGATTTCGAAGAAGGATCTATTAGACAAATGTTAGATCTCTCACAACAGCAGTACGCTGCAAGAATTGAGCAATTAAATAATGAACTTGTGCAGGCCTGGCATTCAGATCAAAGGGTTAAAGCACTTAAAATAGCAATTCAGGTTTCTATTTTTACCTTCTTTCGATCTGTATATAAATAAATATTAAATTAATGTTATATTATTTCCAGTGTGCCAAATTATTAGTAGATACATCCGTTATGGCTTTTTATCCCAGCAAGTTTGTTCTTATCACAGATATTTTAGATATTTTTGGAAAACTTGTTTATGAGAGACTGAAAGTTAAAGCGGAATATTATAAGTCAGTACATAAATTCTTTATTATGTGTAATGAATTAGCATAACATATTTATAATAGGAAATGTATTGCAGGCCAGGAAGTAAAGTACCAACTAGTTTACCTAATAATTTTACACCTGACATGGTACCTGAAAATGCGAAAGAAACTTGTAGAAACTGGTTTTATAAAATAGCATCTATAAGAGAACTAGTTCCACGTTTATACGTAGAGATGGCAATAATAAAATCTTATTGCTTTTTAACAACAAGGTAATATATAATAGATTATATAAATTATATATTATATGAGCTGTCCATTTGTTAAATTGATTAACTCTAAAAAATAAAAAGGAAAGAAATTGATAAAGTATAAAAAGTTAAGCATCAATCGAGCACTTTGGCATTAAAATCTTTAAAAATTCAATAAAAGAAGTTAATCACGTTGATCTGGGAATGATGCATATACAGTAAAAGCTGGATATATGCAACAAACATTGGGACCCAGACGTTGCATATATCCAGTCGAGGTGTCGAATCTCGGGTTACGCGCGACGAGCAGCCAAGCGTGAACGTAGAAAAGGACAGACAGTGGCGAAAAGAGAGAGGTCCGATGATCAAAGGAAAGAGCCGAAACGTATCGGTGTGACTAATACTAATTGAATCAAAAAACTTTTTTATTTTTTACTTTTTTTTAATGAAACTTGTACTAGCGCATTGGTGAGATTTTTGTGATTAAAGTGATACCAAACACGATATAGTTTGAATTATAATTACTTGCTCAAATTGATGTTAAAAGTTAGCGAAAAGCAAAGGACGATTGGAAATGAAAACCGGTTGCGGTGTCGGCTCGGGTTTCAAACGTTGCATATATCCAGCCGAGGTGTCGATTCTGGGCATTTAAACGTTGCATATATCCAGTCTTGGTATCGATTCTGTGTCCGTACAAATCGTTTGTACCGTGCCGCGTTACCTATTATACGTTCGTACAAATCGTTTGTACCGTGCCGCGACACCTATTCTACGTTCGTACGCAACATGCGACGTGTTGCATGTTGCATGTTGCGTGTTTGATGTATCTTTGGTGTACGGCCTGCCTTATACATATGTACAGTTTTATTATTATTTTAATAAATAAATATAATTCAAACCATATCGTGTTTGGTAGCATTTTAATCAGAAAAATCTCACAAATGCGTTAGTAAAAGTTTCATTAAGAAAAAGTTAAAAATAAAAAAGTTTTATCGTTCAATTAGTATTAGTCACGCCGATATTACGGTCGGATCATATTACACGGTTTCCTCGTCGAGCGGCTCGGTTCGCTTAGGGGGATCCCCCCAAGTGGAGGGGATAGCGATGTTGCATATATCCAGCCAAACTTTTGTTGCATATATCCAGCTTTTACTGTAACACGGTACAACACGATTTTTGATCAGCAATATCCATTACGTGATTCTTATAGGCTTTTGTACGCTGATTACGAATCTGCAAACCGTTTTGCTCCTATACGTACAGTTTTTGAGAAATGGATATTGCAGATCACAGAAAAAGATCAAATTTGTTGGACTGTGTAACATGTATTATATGTGTAATCTCAATACCAGTAAAAAATTTTTAATTCAGTGAATTTAATACAGCGTTGCTATAAATGTTATTTATATGTATGAAGTTTAAAGATTTAGATTTTGAATCATTGAAATTTAGAAAATTTGCATTTTGAAAATTGAAGACTTGAACTCTGAATTTTTAAAAAAGGTATAGTAGAATAAGATGGTCAAAAGTGCCCTTGAGCAGATTTTAATTGGCAATGCACCATTTAATAGCTTACCAAAAAAAGCCGTTGTACACCAAGTTTCAACCCTATATCTCAACCGGGAGGGTAGTTATAGGGTAAGAAAGAAAAACTGGTTTTTGCCACATTCTCTCCATCTAGTGATATTCAAAAAATCTGAGAAAATTCCAGAATATTTTAGATATGTTCGCTTATAAGTGTGAGTTTTTTCAGATTTTTTGGTTGCTAATTTTTAAAAGTGTATTAAATCGTATTTAACATATTTACTTCCCTATATAACGTATGGTGTAACCTTAGTACTAATGAAGAATTTTTAATTTAGTGAATTTAATACAGCCTTGTTACGAATAACTGGAATGATAAGAGGAATTGGAAATCCTCTAATAGGTGTATACGCTAGATGTTATTTATGCCGAGTGGGGCTAGCTTTGAACAAAACATCTGATTTTGAATTTGTAAGAGAAAATTTTTATGATTTTCTCATTACTTATCAACAATTATTTGGGCAATTCGTGAAAAATGAACTGGTTAAACAAAATATGACCTTACATTCTTATTTGAATCTCTACTCGCCAGCTGTAGATTGGATTTTACAAGTTTTAGTTGCCACTACTGCTGAAAATCGTTTAGAAGATGTACTCGCTAGATGTAAAAAACAAGCGAATAGGTAATTATATATTATAAGGAAAAGTTGATTCGTAGGGAGGCTTGACACAGTTTTGAATTACCTGGCAAATAAACAATAGAAAACTATATTTATTAGATATCAGAAAAGATTTGTACGATTTTATAATATCAAGTTCAAGTGCCCCGACCTTTCTTGAAAGAATTTTATACAAAATTAACAAGGAGAGGCAGAGACAAGAACAAAGACAATTATCTTTTGTACACTGATAGAGCCTGAAAAACTGAAGCTAATGATACCCGGTTTTGGGCGTAGACGGTTATTAGTTTATAAGATATTTAATAGCACGATCTTTCTCCTCTAATTTGTATCAATCCTCCAGGCCTCCTCTACATTTAATGATTTTGTTACCGGAAGATTAAAGAATGATTTTCTTTCAGTTCGCTGTTACTGAATAGCATTTTAATAGCATTTAAGCCATCGTATATTGCTGGAAGAGCGATGGATTTTGTAAATTTGATCAGCGAAAGTGAAGACGACGGTGATTATAATAAATAATCATTGGTGTAAATAGGTAATTGGTTCTTCATCATTTTAGAATTCTGTGATTTTGAGACAATAAGATTCTAAAGTTTTATGATACAAAAAAATGCAGATTTCGAGAATTGAAAAAATTCAAAAATTTCTAACGTCAAGATTCCAGAATTCTAGATTTCCTGAATTTGAGAATTCAAAAATTTCAAAATTCTAAATTTGAGAATTCCAGATTTCCTGAATCGACAAATTCAAAAATCTGAGGTCAAAAATTAAGAAATTTTCGAATTCCTAAATCATGAATAAAAATTCAAGATTTTTTAATTGCAAAAATTTTCGAATTCCAAGATTCTGAGGTTACGTAGTTCTAAAATTCCAAAGTTCTGAAGTATCAAAATGCTAAAATATTCTCGTAAAGTTTTACCTTAATAGAAATAAATATTTTATCCTGAATGTAATATGTATGTGATGCTGCTAAAAATAAAAAATACGATAATATTCTTATTACATGAAATTATGGATAAAAGTAATTAAACAATATATTAGAATCAAGTTAGAATGAGATAATATTGAACATTTAATGCTATTAATAAAGATAAGTGACCAGGTCCATTTTGGACAAAAATCCTAGTTACACCAATACGCATAATTCAACTAATTAATTAGTGAACATTGTGTAACATAAATGTTCATATTTTCCAGGTTTTCCGCAATATCTTTTATACAGAAGTTTAGGTGAAAGTCTCATACAAGAATCCCCACCGAAAGAGGATTGCCAGCAAATTCTAAATATGATATGGAAATACATAAACGACCTAACAAATCCTCATAAATTTATGCATTGTATTGAAATTTGGATTCAGTTTACTTCCATTCATTTTTCAGTAAGTAAACCATTACTTAAAATCGGAAGAATATTTTTGTATAATATTTATGTTACAGGTAAATGAATTAAATGCGTTTTTTGGAAAAATAATTGATCGCCTTAATTCAAACAAAAGTTTTGAGAATTACTATTTACAGCTACAAAATATTGTAGAGAAAGTAGTATCTCATACTCAAGATTTTGAATCACTACTTGCTATGGTAGTTATATCTAAACCATCACTTTTTTAAAAAATTGAATACATATTTTCTAGGACAAATTTTTCAGGATAATTTCTTGCCTCTAATAGATTTGTTTCACAAGGAAAGTATTAAAGTTGAAGTTTGTAAAACTGTGATAGAAGGTTTAAGTGTTCAAACTGGTCCTATTACTGATCCTATTATTATAAATGCCCTTATGTTTCTTGCTAGAATAATGCACGACTCTGTTAGGTAAATAAAATTGTTCTTTATGTTGTAAACATGTATCGTGTACTATCTTATAATAGAATAATTTCAGTACTTTAACCGTTGAAGATGAGAAACGACAAATTGGTCAACTTATATGCAGTTTGGTACAACGTGTTGATTATGGTCGTGATTTTGAGAAACAACTGAATTTTTATGCTGAAGCCAGAGCAGCTTTTCCCAATCTTGATACTGTTCATATACAACTTGTACAGGTAAGACATTATTTCGACAAACAAAATTTCATTGACTGTTTTTGGCATAAATGGAAGGCGTAAAATGTACCCCCTGAAAGTAAGGCAAAGATCTGCAGTACTTCTTATATTCTCACCCCTCTCCGGCCCCTATCACCACACATACATACTTAATCCAGAATTGATACAAGACATATATTTAAAAATATCATGTAATTAATATTTTTTTATTATGTATAGTGAAAAATTAGATTATCTTAGTATTATATAAGATAATACTTTAATTCAAAAAGTGAAATGAATTTTATACATATTATTCAACATTTTAGTATTAAGTTATTCACATTTTTTATGTACACTGAGTTTTCTTTAAAAAAGTAATTGTCATTACATTGGAAGGCATATGTTTTAAGAAATCATATAATTAATTTATATACATATATATAGTGTGTAAATAGATTATCTGTTGATACTCGAAAAATTGTTCGTGGACATCATACGAGAAGAACGTCAGCATTTGTACGTGCTTGTGCTGCATTTTGTTTTATTACAATTCCATCGTTAACTTTAGTTCATACACGGCTTCAGTTGTATCTCCTATCTGGACAAGTTGCACTTCTAAATCAGTGCTTAGGTCAAGGTAATTATGATTTCGTATTTATAGTTATTGGCGTAATTAGGTTTTTTATCTTGGGTAGGATATATCCAGGAGCGACTGGATTTTAGATCTTCAAACTTAGATTTTTATCAAAAAATTAGTGATATAGCGGGCCCTTCTTGTTAAATACGGGCCCAAATTTTAATTAATTAGATCTCAAATTCTTACAAAACTACCAGGGGCGAATTAAGATTTCTGGAATCCTTAGGCTATCGAACCTTCGAGCGGCCGCTTACTTGATAAACTTGATTCGGTAATTAAAATTTATTTTGAATAAAATTAAATAAAAGGAAAAATGTAGCAATAAAATAACATTTCGTTAAATATTTCTTGACATAGTAAATGGATGACTTATAACAGAGCTTTCTGCAAAGTAAGGCCCGGGGTTGTGACCTCCCTTTAGACCCCTATTTAATCGGCGCTGCGGCCCACCAAGAATTTTCCCGAACGTCCGATGGCCAATCCATTCCTTATTGTTAGTTTTATTAATAGTGTCAAGTGTTTAATATTATTTAACTCCCTAATTTTAATATCGCTTAGTTTATTCATGATTTTATGTGATAATAACATCATTGCATGTTTTGTTTTTAATTGCATTACATCTTGCATTTCGGACGAAGTATTTATTGAATTTTGAAAATTTGGAATGTTGGAACTTGAAAATTTTTGAACGTTGGGATTCTGAAATGTTTGAACTACACAATTTTTGAATTTCAATTGAAATGAGATTTTACGAAGAAGCTTAAGGATTTTAAGATGTTTAGAATTTTAGGATTCCGAAATTTTTGAATTCTGAAATATTGGAGCCTGAAAGTTTAGAATTTTCAAATTTTCAATTTTAGTATAACAGAATTCTAAAATTTTAGAACATTTCTTAATCCTAGAATTAAAAAATTTTGAAGTTTTACAATTTTTGGATTCTGGAATTTTTTAATTTTGAGAATCAGGAGTTTGTATGTGTTCAACTGTTAGAATTTTGGAAGTTTAAAATTGTTGAATTTTGAAATCTTGAAATTTTAGAATTTATCAAGATTTTCTAACTTTAGAAGTGTAGAATCGTGTGGTAAAAATCTGAGAATTTTAGAATGATGAGGGGCCGGTGCATATTTTGCCTAGTTACGCCAATGTTTTAACCCATTTTATAGATGTTTTAACTAATTAAAGATTATTTTGTTAGCCGACGCGTGTTTCAAAGCTGCCTTAAGTTTAGTTCCGGAAATGCCTAAAACAATAGATATAGATGGAAGGCAAAAAAGCTCACAACCATATCTACTTTCATATTTATCAAATTTTTTATCAACATTATTGGTTGTACCAGTATGTATCTACAATCAATATTATAAAAGTTCTATTATATTCTTAAATATTTCTAATATTATTATAACGTATAAATATTTCATAGGATAGTCCAGAACACGGAGTTCTATATTTAATGAGAGGATTACTTAATGCAGTTCAACGTTGTTTTGAAGAAAATACATTGACAAAAACATATTTATATTTACGTGTACTTGATTTGTTATCGACGGTAACTCAAGAAAATTATCCATATCATGTTGACAAGGTATTTCATATTGTTGAAAATCTAAGAATTTTACAAGTTTAAAATATTCTCTAGATAATTTTTATTTTATTTTCAGGTTGATTCGAACGATAAATTGTATGGGTCTGATCAAAAATTCATAAGCGAAGTCAATAAGATGTGCTCTAAGATTGTAGAAGAGGTTTTATCGCATTTAAAGTACCTTGGATCTACTGATCAAGTGGAAAAACAAGTAGCTCTTGCAATTGAACTATTTAATTGTTTTGTCATTAGAGCAGATCTGCGTGATCCATTATTAGCACAAATGGCTGTAAATTTGTGGAATCTGTCTCAACGATATGGTTACGTTGACTCAAAAGTAAAGGTAGGGAACAGTACCCAGCATGATAAGCTTCAATAGGAAAAATTATGGTACAGGCGAAGCAAGTTGCACGACTCGCTATAATACTATGGCACCTACGAATAATTAAATAATAAAACAATAATTTCACGAATTCAAAAATTAAAATTTCAGAATTCAGGTTTCAAAATTCCAGTTTTAACACTTGGATTCTGAAACTTTAAAATTTGGATTTTGCAAATTTAAATTTTATATTTAAAAATTTTGAAATCTTAAAACTGTCAAAGAGTATAGCAGGATAAGATGGTCAAAAGTGCTCCCAAACCAAATTCGACTTGCTATGAACCATTCGATAGACAATAAAAAAAAATCTTTTTTTTTTTATAGATGAAGATGATAGCTTATATGGTGCAAAAGAGTCACGATGTGGAGTATGAACATTTTGCAGATATTTTGAAAAAAATGTTGAAATAATGAGGATTTCAATTCATAAACGGGAAATATAAAAAGTGACAAATGCATTAAATGTATCTTTTTAATTATTCTTTTGGAAGACATTGATTTTACATTGAATTTCTTATAACCACGATAATATGTATTATATCCAACTAATTTGATAGAATATTAAAATATATATCCTGAAAGCGATACTGAATAATAATATAAGATATTATGAATTTTTGTTACACAAATATAAATAATACTTATATAACAATTATTGTATGTTTTATTTAAAATCAATATGAAAAAATAATATACTGATTAGAAGTATAAATTTTATATATTACTAACAAGTACATAAGTATATTAAAACAATATAATCACTTTTTTTAGAAGATCTAATTTTGGAAGCCACGTGGAATGTACTTTAAGATGTAATTTTTTAAAAATTATTATGTTTTTAAAATGGATCGAAGAGTATCCAAAAATATATCCGCATGATTTTGCGTGAATATTAAGGCAGGCCTTAATCTTATTGACCTGTTTCCGCAGCCACCTGCTTGGATACCTAAATAATATTATTTTTATATTATATTTTATCCCATTTCATTTTTTAAATATGTAATGTTTAATATCGTAAAGAAACCGATTCCTGATCGCTTTTTGAAAGGGTATAGCCGGATAATATGGTCAAAAGTGCTCCCAAACCAAATTCGACTTGCTATGAACCATTCGATAGACGATCAAAAAAAACCAGTCTGTCCCAAGTTTCAACCCTGTATCTCATCTGGGAGGGTAGTTACGGGTAAAAATGTAATAATAATTAAGAACGAATAATGCTACGAGCACCGAATTACATAATTGGAAAACCTAATTACATGTAAATTTTAATTTAATTTCCAAAATGGAGAAATGCTAATGTAATTTTTGCTCAGCTGTATCATACAAAAATAAATAAAAAAAGATGGTCATTCTTTGGAATAAATAATAATCATTTTAGTATAGAGTATTCGTAGACTAAACTGATCAGAAATTGGTTTTGTTAGCGTGGAACCGATAGTGTTTAGATAAGTTGTACATTATCGAACAATGTAGATTTCTTTGGGGAAAATGGCGCTTTGAAGAAAAGAGGCCCTATCACATTTATTTTAATAATAATGTTAATATTAATCAATCTTAATATTAACAAATATTTTTTGAAACTTAAAGTTCAGATTTCAGAACCGTGAAATCTTTAAATTTAAATTTTAAGATTTGGGTAATTCCGAAAAACTGAAAATTAAATTTTGAAATTTTAAATTTGTGAAACGGTACCAATTTTGAGAACTTTGTATTCTGAAACTTTCAAATTTAAACCTTGATGCATTGAAACTTAAAAATTTAGATTCCTGAAACTTTGAATTATGATCTTTGAATTTCGAAACCTTGAAATTTTTAATTTGAGTTTCGAAATTTGTTAATTTGAACTTTAAATTTTGAAATCTACAATATACATATTAAATTTGATTGTTACAAATTATATTAATCATTTTTAAACTAATTTTTAATAATAACATCTTCAAAATTAAGATTTTGGCGAGACTTGCTTTCTTTGCATCGTCATTTTCCCCATATAAATAATATATATTCTATAAATATTACCTTTAGCCAATAATTTCTTTACTACTGTATCTCTGAGTTCAGGTGAAGCGCAATTAAACGCAATAAATGTTCCACGTCCTCGAACAGAGTCAACCAAACTAGAAAACTCATTTTGCAGATTCATTAATTGTTTCAGCATGTAATCACCAACAACGGTAACTCTATCCAACAAATTTTCTTTTCTTATTGTCTCCAAAACTGCTTCAAGTAATATTATTTTACTAGGATCTCCCATCCAGGTATTGAACACACGGTATGACTGCTTAGGTCTACAAATGGTACATTGACATGTTAAGGAATAAAACCAATGAAGGACAAACCTAGTGGCGGGAAAAGATGATTTAAATCAATCATATTTCTTAGATAAAATTGTAGCATTTTGGTTAATTGATTCGTTGATGAGCTCAGTAAACTTATGTAATTGTGATACATACAGGTAACTGCGATACAGAGATACAGGTAACTAGTAATTAGCCCGTAAATTTGACTTAACTAGAGATAATTATCACAAATAATGTCATAAATTGATTCTCGAAGGCTACTCCACCTAACCCAACCTTTTTTTGTATACTACACGCGCTCTGATTGGCCAGTGTTTTTCATTAAAAACTCAAAAACGAAGCTTCAACCAACATTTTGGTAAAGGAAAAAGTTGTTCAGAATCATCCCAGCAACCCCCCATTTCCGGGAATTACGGATATACCCTGTATGTATTCTTACATGTCTGATAAAACTTCAGACATAGGCGTAGTCAGGTTATCAGTGAGGGAGAGACAAAATTTATCTAAAGGCAAATTTCATCGTATTTATGTACGAGCCATTCCACGCCAAATCGCTCACTTTTGATAACATGTCTTCCGATGTTCATTAGTATTACTTTATAATTATAGCTAGAATGAAATTAGGGGGCAAAATCCAATTTTTTTCTCTACGGTAGGGCAAATACCATTTTTCTTCTTCCAGAGCGGGGCGGTGGTGGCAAGCGACCCTCCCTGTCACGCCCCCTTGCTACGCCCATGACTTCAGACTTTATAAAATCTTACTTTAGAGCTTCAAGGTGATAATATCCTCCCAACTGCATTTTTTTGCTAAATGTAACTATATCCGGAGGAGATTTTAAATTAAAATGTTGATGACACCACATTTTTCCAGTTGCACCTCCACCTGTTTGCACTTCATCAAGCAATAATGCTGCGCCATTCTAAAATATGCAAAATTATATTTTACAATCTACGTATAAAATAATACTGCTTTTCAAACACGGGTAATGCAGCGAGATGAAATTATCGGCAAATGTGGGCCTAAAAAGAGGTTCGGGAAATTACGTTTTTTGTCCTTATATGAGAGGATTTGGGGCTGGGTGGGGCCCCTGTGGCTCGGGGGTTGTAGAATACGGCCACGGTATCCCCTGCCTGTCGTAAGAGGCGACTAAAAGGGGTCACACAAACACATACACACACACATACCGTCTAAGTATTAAAAGTATGGATCGAGTATGGGATCTAAAAGTATGGAACGTATGGAAGTAAAAGTATGGAGAAAGTAAGACAATGATAAGATAATTCAAAAAATGCGCGGGATTTGGGGCTGGCAGCAGTGCTGTCAGCCCATTCCCACGGCGCGTGGCCGATAGAGTTCGTTGGGCAAAATGGGGACAGATTAGTCCCCTAAAGCGCCGGCCCCTTTAGGGGCGAAATGAGATGGATGGATGGATGGGGCTGGATGAGGGCTCATTCAATGCATTCGTTCAATGCAGCGCGCTCTGGTCATAATTCAACGAGATTGTGTTAATATCTAATAATATGAGTGTCCAAAGTAGAGGAAAAATCGAGAAAATACGCCTGCTGAATCCAAGTACATTTTAGGTAACTATAAGAGTTTTGTGACTAAAACGATTTGTTGAGCCCCCTTCATTGAACCTTCCTCTTTCGAATGAGCCCTTATTCAGCTCAGGATCTTCTCATATAAGGACGAATATCCGATTCCCGTAAAAGCATTCCCAAAGACGAGTTCCGCTATTATCTGGATACTACAGCGCAAGTCACGTGACAAATTTAGTTCAGCTAGTAGTTATAAGGTGGCGTCTAAGTAGAAAGGCTGCCGATTTGGAATCGTAGTCAGAATCAAGCGTTAGCTTGATTACGTCACTCGAGCTGCGAAGGCAAGCGAAAAAGGCAACATGAGTAAGACGCACTACTGTCATGCTGTTCTTCTCTCATTCTGAATGTTGAGATTGTCCCTTTTCGCTAAGTTTTGACTGCAGCCCGCCTGAATTTTTCACAGCGCCCCATAACCTTGCCCCATTCAAACTATATCGTGTTTGGTATCATTTTAATAAGAAAAATTTCACCAATGCGTTAGTAAAAGTTTCAGTAAAAAAAAGTCAAAAATAAAAAAGTTTTATAGTTGAATTAGTATTAGTCACACCGATACGTTTCGGCTCTTTCCTTTGATCATTTCTCTCTCTCTTCCACTGTCTGTCTCTTTCTACGTTCATGCTTGGCTGGTCGTCGCATCTAATTCCAGATTCGACTTTTTCTAAAAAATTTCTCAGATTGCACGTTCCTTCGGTTCTTTAGAGTAGGCATATATTTTTCAGCAGCGAGGGGTGCTACGGTGCGTTATATAAAATCCATGCGTTCAGTCAGTCAGAATTTATCGGAGCGGGACAATTCTATCATTTGGGTTGAAAGAAGGATAGCACGATCACCGTACATCTCACTCTAAAGACGCGCCAATGTTTCGCTTTCGTTCTTCAGGCGTATCGTCGCGATGCCTCTGTCGAGATGAGCGTTTGAATGTGTTTGTAAAAATACTTGAGGCGCTACTGCCTTCTTAGATCGTGTTGCGCGCACGCTAGCTGAGAATTAAACCTTTCAAGTTCGTACCAGACCACGCAAGTGGCTCCACCAGGCCCAACGAAAAAACTGCTGTAATACCGACGTCCCGAATCGGAGAGGTCACGTACCGTGTCTACCCCCTTAAGCACCTGGACAAATGACAAGGGTTCTTAGTAAATTCCTATTAGATATTACCTTTTTCGTTATTTGTTGTAACTGTTGGAAAAATTCTGGAGACGCATGATTATCACCTCCTTCTGCTTGAATTGGTTCAATTATTACACCAGCCACTGGAATTTTCTTCTCAGTTTTATACTTCTCAAATAATTCTTCAATCTAATAAAATAACAATAAGAGTATAAACTGTAAATAAATTCACTTTTTATTAAAAAAGAGAAGACAGTTATGAACCTCAGCTAGACATCGTTTATCTTCTTTCTGATTCTCTTGTACGTGTTCATTTAGGGGATATTTATATTCAGGAAATGAAGCAATGGGCCAATCAAATGCTGGAATATCTATTTTGTGAATATATTTACTATGCGTCGTTGAAAGAGATCCTAATGTTCTTCCATGAAACGCACCTATAAATAACAAAACGTTATTTAATATTATTTAGTTATTTAATATTAAATAAATGCTGCTTCCTTCGTTTATACTTTCTATTAAATCATGTTGTGATTGTATGCTATATTACTTCAAATTTTAAAACAATTTATTTTTAAGAAATGTAAAAAGTAAAATTTAAACTCTTAAAAAGTAGGCAGATCGTTTTATCAAACATGTCTCTCTTAAGAAATAAACCGTTAACATCTGGAAAGGAAAACTCTTAGGCAAACAAGCCGCTTGTTCTTGAAATAAACAAGAGGCCCAGCGATAACAAAACCAAGTGTTTTGGGAAAGCAGTGTGTCCACCATAATCACACAACAGCTGCAACCACTCCAACCGACACCGAAACAATTGGGCCCAGCCCGATTATCTAAATAATAACCAGATCACCCCTTCCTTAATTAGTATATAAACCCGTTCGTACCAACGCTCTGGGGCAGTACCGAAGTTCATCTAGTGTTGAGCACATCGTGTACGAACGTGAGCTAGTAGCTGTTTAGTGAGATCAGGTTAGAGTCCCCTTTGAGCAAAGTTAACCTTATAAAATCTGCGAGTACAGTCAGTGTTTCTATTTGGCATTATTAACAACCACATATGGCACCCCGCATTGCCAGTGCGTTAAAACTGAGCACCCAGCGGAAATAGATAATATACAATATACACACCTATAAACGAGTCAACAACTGTAATAGCCTGAGATGTAAAATATATACATTGCTGTGTGAAACCCACATTAGCATTCTTCTTAAAACCCAGTAAAAACTAGTGACAATTCCCACAACAATACAATCTAACCGCTCGGATTGTATTGACTACAATATAATATAAGTTACACGGCCTCTCATCCGAAAGCCTCCGCTAGCCACGCGCGCTGCCTAGTCTTCGGCCACGTAACAACTTAATAAAAAAATTAAAAGGAAATCTTTAAACACATAATACATATGAAAATGTATTTTTACTTGTGGGTTATGTAGACTGAAAGAAAACGAATACAGTTAAATAAATGAAAACTCATTTACCTTTGAATGATAGTATTGAAAATTTTGGAGCGCCAGGAACTTGATTCATAATACAGGTTTTCATTTCCTCTTCTGTAAATGGAGCATCTTTTCTTTGTTTCTCAGCATACCAAATGAAAATGTTTTTAAATGCATTTTCATTGGAACAAGAGCCACACATCATAGTTGTGATGTGGGACATTCCTGTAGGTGCTACCTGTATGTATTAATTTCATATTATTAGTTAATTCATAATAGTTATGAGTTATTAGTTAATATCATAATATTAGTTAAAAATTATTATAAAATTATTGACATGGGTATAAAAAAGATTTTTTGTCTGAGGGGACGAGGTATTTTAAATTTACTAACAGTATTATATGTTTAATATTATTTGATTCTAATTTAATTTCAATGTTATTCAATGCTTTTTATTCATACTTTCACCTACATCAAGCCACGTACTGACATGAGCAATTGTGCGCGCACGGACGTTTGTGCGAATGTAAGAACTTCGTTCTTGAAACATTATATTCGTACGTGTAAAATTGCGCTCGAGTTTTTAGAATTTTAGAATTTTGAAAATTTATAAGAATGATACTTTGAAATTTTGAAATTGCGTAATTGTGGAATTTTTTAATTTTATAACTTTAGAATCTTATAATCTTATAATTTTATGGTTTTATAATCTTATAATTTTAGAATGGTGAGATGACTGGTCTCACCCAGTATTCCACCTAGTATTCCAACAAGAATACATTAAAGTACTTATAAAAATGGAGTAAAACGATATAAGTTAATCAAATGCACCATTTTATGTACCTCTTTATGTAGCAAAACACTTTTCAGTCTGTTCGGCCAGTCCTTTCCAGGAAAGACTCCCAATGCTGGCCTGTTTGCTATAATTCTCTAAACAATATTTTATTTTATTCAATCTGTATTTACTTATTTTAGTTCCACATAATGTCATGCATACACCAAATAACTTTTATTCAACACTGTGTTTCAAATTTTGAATTAATAGTTCTATTAACATTTACCTGATTAACTGAATCTGTGAGAACTTTCAACATAGCTGGATGATTGTAACCCAAAGGCATTGATGAAATTTGCATGTAAACATCGAGCAGAACATTTCCATCAACATCCACTATATAGTTACCTGCTGATTTCTCATAGTCTGCGAAGAATTGTACGGAAGAGGCCTGCTGCAGTCATAGATTTCAACATAACCCATTTCATCTCTAGTATACATATTTAGAAAAGATTAAATGTCATACACTATTCAATTCTTTCTGTTATGCAGTCATAAGAGACAATAAATACTTATGTATTAAATATGCAGTGGGATCTGGTTATTAAAATCATAAATAATGTTATCAATCAGTTATTGTTATCATAATCAGTCAGTTTCAAAACACTCTACAGCGGAGTTCACCAGAGTCCATAACTGCGAAAAGACCAGTTTTCGTTCTTTCGTGCGCATCTTCGCCCTGATTGGCGGTACTCCCAAACGAAGTAGAAAGCGATTAGCGGAGAGCTCGCTGCGTTCCCCCACCATCTTACAACCTGCGCGTCGCAGTTATGGACTCTGGTGAACTCCGCTATATATAAAATTAGTTAACACTAATCTGCCTATTATAATTGACTATTGTTATCAGTTGCAATAATTACAGTTGGGGACAAATAATAAGAATTCTTAGCAAATTCATACTAAATAGATCTTATCTTCGAAATTTACTTTTAACCAAAACATACCTCTTAAAGAGTTCTCTTAAGAATTCTCAGAAAATAAGTGCATAAATCTTTTCTTAAATCATACCTTTATCTTTCTAAAGTATATTGTTGCAGTGAATGAGAATCATGTTGTCATAATTGTTTGTAATAAACTGAATTCAATAATGAACATCTTTTATTCTCTGTTTAATATTATCAAAAATTGCAAGCCCCAAAGTGATCATAATAAGCAGATACCACTGATGCATGAAAAGAAACCTGAACATGGTATGAATTGAAATTTTCACAATAATTAAAAATTCTTCCACATACTTGCATTGAATTGAGTTCTTGAAATAAACTACGTGATTGCGGTCCAGGAACTTCTGTCAAAACTATTGGCTTTTTTGGTTCTTCCAAAAATGAAGTGCTGGTTAAACATCTTTTCCAGGATACTGTGTGTGCTATATCAAACCAAATAAAAACGTGATCTGGTATTTGTGTAAAACATGCTATATAATGATATTCAATTTGAAGTACAGTAAAATCTCTCTAGTTGCTCGTAAGCTGAGAAGCGAAAATGGACAATGTGAGCAAGGTAGACACGATTTTTCGAGCCTCGTGGCTGTTTTTAATCCCCGGCGACAAGTCGCAAAAAAGAGAAGAATAGCATGAGAGCCGTAGCAGCAAAAAAATTAACAACAGTTTACTATGACGTTGGATTAAATCACGTTACCCAACCCCTAACGTTTAATAGATCGAGCGTTTAGGTTCATTGATGTCAATTAAAGATAAGTGGTTGATATACTTACTGACGTACTTTTGTACAAACTATACCCGCTATACACTGTAAGGTTTATATTTTATTGTTTCGTTATTATTTATTATTTATTAACAATTTCATGTCAAATCATTTTATATAAAAAATACGAAAATGTTTTGGATTTAACAGATGCAATATTTTTTATCTATTTTCAGGTAGAATTAATTTGTTTACCAAATACAGAGTCATTCTGACCCAATATGTAAAACTCAGATTTCAACATTTATTAATTTCAAAATTTGGTGGAACTGGAATTAGTTAATTAGAATTTTGAGTTTTGGAAATTCGGATTTAAAAATTTTTAAATTTAGACTTCAAAATTCAAATTTCAAACTTCAAGCTGTCAAATTTCAGAAGCATCTTAATAATAGTAACTGTTATTAATAATAAATGATAATAAAATTATAATAAATAATTTTTATTTTAACAAATATTTTATATTTTTAAATATTATTCAATAGAAATAAAATATTACATATTTTAAGATTTTTTTTTAATAAATAAATTTTTAATAGATGATCTACTATATCATTGTTACCAACCACGTGTTTATTTGTTAAATTAATAAAAGGCATAGGTGTAGATAAATTTAAGATAAGTACAAGGTCAATAAACAAGCTTGTTACCAAATATGTATATGTAAACGACGATATTTCGCCTAATCGTACGATTTTTAGATAAGATAAGCGATGTATATGGATGTGAACAGTATTTAGATAAAAGAGAAACAATATCATATATAAATTACATCGGATATGGATTAAAAAACAATACATCTATATTTACAAAAGATAAATATTTATCTCTCAAGAACAAGTTAAATTTAAGATATTCAATTAATTTTTTTTTCATGCTCATCAATGTATTTAAAATTAAATTATGTTATTATTACTAACAATAAGTTACAAATCGTCTTGTACTGACACATGATATCAATAATATTATGATTTGCCATTCTAATTGTTGATTTATTTATTCAAAATTTTTCTAAATTATTTATTAAAAATGAATGTATAAACCGGCAAAAAGAAAATGTACAAAAGAAAACGAATTATAGATTTTTTTGATGTAACGTGCATAGATTGATTCTTTTCTTGAAGCTGTTTTCAAATTTTAAGTAACTAATATGTAACAAGAAGTATATAACATAATGTAAAAAGTATAATAAATACCCTTGAAGAATTTCCGTGGTAATGTTCGACTGCTTAAAACGATCTGACACTTATTAGCAAACATATTGTATTTATAATAGCGATTTGCAATTTGATTTTTACTGAAAATTGATTTAGTCTAGTTGCCTATACTTGTAACACATCCTTATCCAGGGATACTCGCACTGGTTACTCTAGGATTGCCCGAGGTAGGGACGCAAACAGGGACGTGTGACGTTTATATCCCCTCTACTTCTACATAGCCTATACCTATATACAGTATCAATCATAGTGTCCGTTCGTCTAGTGAAAAAGCACTAAAGGGGAAGGTGCCCCTACCACCGGGTCACACGCGAGCACGCAGCCATTATGCCTCGTTCGCATGAGAAATACCTTTGTATCTTTGTATTTGAGGAGAAAAGAAATTTTTTCAAATAAATGCTTAGTCGGAGAAGTGAGGCGGTTCATTTCTCAACGAGTAAAATATATGTATAACCAGTACGTTTAAAAACTCGGTTGTCGAAATAATTAATCGCGTCGAGCCTCGGACGCCGAAGGTGGCTCCCTCCGTCTTATAGGATGGTGCACGAAACTGCGAACGCATGTCGTGATTCCATAAAGAACCGGAAGCTCTCGCACTGTAACTTTCGTCCTTGTTCCGCCCCATTTCACTCTGACTCGAGGCTCGTCGAATGCTATTCTTGTAGTTTCCTTACGCCGAGACAGCGCGAAACCGCCCATCGTTCGAATGTCTCGATTACTTCTTAGCAACGTGCAACAACAGACCATTTTTTATCTTCATTTTCAAGTCTTTAAACTTTATCGTTTATAACTTTTTGTAATTGTTTAAACAATTTTTTGTCGAGGCATAAAAAGATACTATACCTTAAGGCGAATAACCGTTGCTTATAAAGTTTTTTAATACATCTAACGTTTTCGGAGAAAAAGGACGAATAAGATGAAACTGTTTCATTTCATTCGCTGTTATTCAATGCTTGCATTTACTCCTGTGTTAAAGAAACTGATACAAGAAAGAAGATCTCCCATTAAGAGTAAATTATAAATTTACACGTATATGCATTTTGTAAAGAGGATAGTTCCCAAAAGCCTCTAATTACCTTGTTTCCCAAATTCTGAGCTATTATGAAATTTGAAACACCAGAAGTATCGCATGTGGCTAACAAGGGGACCGCCAAGGTGAGATCGGCAATAGGTACAAGTTGTAGTATACATACAGTGTTATAAAACCCTCATTGGTTTTGATAGAATGGGCCTTTGTTTCCGAGATATTGCAGTTTAAACAGTTCTGTACATTTGGTATTTCAGTTGTGAGAGATGGCTTACAGTAGTGACGTCGTAGGTGAGTGAGTAATGTAACGGACTGGACGTCTGGAGTCTGGAGGCCACCATAGACAACAATTACTTAGACGCCACCTTATAACTACTAGCTGAACTAAATTTGTCACGTGACTTGCTCTGTATTATCCAGATAATGGCGGAACTCGTCTGTGAGAATGCAATCGCGATTTTTCGCTTTTCGTCCTTATATGAGAATGTTTGAGGTTGGGTGAGGGCTCATTCGAAAGATAAAGGTTCAGTGCAGCGCGCTCATGTCATCGTTTGAGTCACAAAACTCTTTTAGTGACCTGCAAATACCTTGGATTCTGCGGATGTATTTTCTCGAATTTTCCTCTACTTTAGACACTCATATTATTAGATATTAACAAAATCTAGTTCAATCAGTAAGTCTAAATTATTTCGTCGGTGACCTAACAGTTTTTAAATTATCTGATCGGCGGTACAATGGATAATATCATTATTCTACATTATCCATTATCCGGAGCACCACCTCCAAATGCCCACAACCATTTACCGATCGTACCCCAAACCCACTTGGCGTGCTACACTTTAACACAGAGGTTAGCAGTCTTTAGTAGCCTCTTGTCGGTGTCGGCGATGCGCTGTTTGGCGAGGGTCCTTGTGCCGGACATGGAGATGGCACCACTAGGACGTTGGGTGACTTCTTCGGGCTGGATTGTTGACCGCGGGACGTTGTCCCCGAGGGTGCTCCTGTGTAGGTCGTCGGCATCATTGTGGATTGGATCTCCTCTTCTTTGGGATGCAGTGTCGTTGGACTTTACCCTGTCTCCCGATCCTCACTCTCTCTGACCCTTTTGACCCGAAACAGGTGAATGAGAAGGATGGGGTTAAAGGGGATGTTGGGACGGACGCGGTAGTCTAAAATAAAGCCAGGCGAAGCTTGGCTATGTAAATGGAGGGCAATCGTGTCACCACGTTACAGTGTATAATACATATATTGTATACATATATTATAAGTACTTACACAAATTACAGTCCTACTGAAACAAAAAAGTAATAAAAAAGGAAATTCATACAATGAAAGAAACAATTATTTAAGAACTGGTTGATTGTGATTTCACTACATTACAATGTAAAAAATGATCTATGTAAAAGATCTATTTATGTAATTTCTAAGAACTTTCTCATGTACCCATGTAAAAAGAAAAAGGTATACTTCATTCAAAAGTAAGTTTTGAGGAAAAGATTTATTTACCAGAATCCTTATTGTTTGTCCTTAAATATAATTATCATAACTGATAACAATAGCCGAAGTTAAATTATAGTAGACGGATTATTTTTAACTAATTTTATAGAGAGTGTTTTGAGACCGACTGATTATGATAACAATAGCTGATTGATAAAATTATACGTGATAATAATAACTGTACCTTCTCTGATCACTTGTAGTACCGTTGCAGGTTCCAGGCATATGTACTTAAAAACTCTCCTAAGTTCCACCGTACAGTAGACTCTTGTTATATTGCCATGTGAGTGATTTGACATTTACATGAATTTTAAAGCATACCAGTCTCACTCTTCCACCATCATAGTTTATGAAAAAGATATGTTTTTTTCTCTCCCCTCCACCTTTCAAATGAAATCTTGGAAGCCTGGTAAATTTTTCACTCTACAGCCCCGTCAGCGGCAATATAACAAAAGTCTACTATACCAGGGTTAAGGTTTAAAGTGACAAGACACACATACATACATTCTCCATATGACGTATTTCAAGTGTCCCACGAACATATCACCTTATTTTTCCTCATTCAAAACCACGCCTTAATCCTTTGCTCCCGGCGATTGAGTGGTGGCAGTCTCGTTTTTCGGCAGTAGCAAACTGTGTGCCGTGTCGCACGCGTATTATTCGTTCGCGCCAACGCATTCGAGTCGGTTCGCCTTCGGCTTGTGCAACGACATCGCGAACACATTATCGTATAACCTTCTTCCGATTTCAAATATAACCTTCGACAGCCTTCTTCTAATTTCACGCTGTCCATACCTGAGAAAGTGTTTGTTTAAACTGTCACTGTTCCTGGATTTCAGCCTATACGCTTTTCACCTACATAATCGTTGGCTACCGATATTAGGACTCTGATCACGCGCTCGCCAGTAAGTAACTTGCGGTACTGATTGCACGCTACTTTAACAATATATTTGTGTTTGTAAGTCACATTTTCAATCAAATTGAGGATATAGCTTAACCCTTTAAAACCTTGTGGTACATACGTGCACCGACACGGATATTTTTTCTCAAAACTATTCTTTCAATAAAGATTGACAGTATAATTAGGTACTACGTGTATAACTTTTTTTCATCCCCAACACTCTTTCAAAATATCTAATCAGCAACTCCATTCTGAAAATTTATAAAAATTGACAGTCATATAAATATTATAAATTTGTCTCCAAAGAATTAATTAAGATCTGAATGCCAATATTTATGTATTCAGAATATTTTTTTATTGTAATTGGAATAATTGTATTTGGAAATACATTGATTTTTGTATCGTAATGCAAAATCATATGTCGAACACAACGTTATTAAGCCTTTTTACACTCTTAAGGGTCGAATTTCTAAAAATCCCTTCTTAGTGGGTACTTACGTCATGAGAGGAATACACTACCCGAATTTCATGTTTCTAGTTTCAGGGGTTTGGGTTGGGCATTGATGAGTCAGTCAGAACATTTGTCTTTATATAGATTATAATAACATTGTTGGGGATCAAAGTGGCCCTACATCGGACTATTGGGCAGACATGTAACATCCATCTTTTGAGGATGAATATTATACATTTTTAACTGCGAATATTTATGCTGATATAACGAATGCATACAAAATTTGCTTAATATGCGAAATATGTAAAATAAAATACGTTTAAATATTTTATAAAAACATATTTATATAAACATTTAAAAACAATTAACTCATCATAGAATAATAACATTTCGTTAAACTCCATGATACCAGTAACGTTATAATTGTATGTGTGAATTTGCTAAAAAAAAAGAATTTTTCAAGGATCTGAATGATAGATCAAAACGTACCTTGTATGATTTTTTTACATACAGTAGTCAGAAATCTATTTATTCATTTTTAATGATTTACCGTGTAGAAGATGTACTAGTATTTAACCCTTGGACAGCAGAGTCTGACTGAGTTAATCGTGATCCAAACTTACAAAATATATACAAAGATGTTAACCTACAATTAAATGTATAATTCTTAAACAAATAAGTTTCACATATTGGAATAATAACTTTTAAAGGAACAGTGTAAAATTCAGAAAATAGAGATAATATAAAATACGAAGTTATATTGAAATTAGGGCTCTCTTTATGGTCCGCCGTATGAGAGTTAAAAGAAATGTATACTTAGCATAAAAATAACAAGAAAAGAGATATCTAAACCCTTTCTAAGAACTTTTGAATATTTATTGAACGTAACTCCTTGGAAGCAAATATTTGAAACGACAATAGACATCAGGAGACAATGAATCCTGCCTAGTAACTTAGGAATTCGAAATTACTTATTCTTTCTGATGGAAAAAAAAGTATAAGCACGCCTTCGAATAATTAAGTAACATGTTGGTGAAACGTATACGAGTATCATCTGAATATCAGGCAATGACCGGAATATGGAAATCATAAGCGATAGAAAAGCTTGGTTTTCGAATCTTGTTGCAGAAACTTGTCCACCAGAACCTGTTTCGATAACAAAGAAAATAGCAATAAATAATGCATTTTATCAATTCCATTATTAAACTTGTCAAACAACAATTCCAATTTTTAACAGCAGAAAAATATCAAAGCAGCAATAAAATAGCAAACATCGAGAGAAAGGAATGATTTTGTTGAGTCAAGGTCATAATCAAGGTTGACGGGAAATTAGAAATACAAGA